GAGCTGCCTGGGGGGCACTTAGGGGTTAAGTAACTTCTCCAGCGTCAGAGGCAGGACTTTAACTGAGGTCCTCTTTGTTGTATCCACTATGCCTGGCCATCTTTCTCCCTAATTCATAGGGGCCCCGATGGGGACTGGGCATATGATGTCATTGGCATAAAGAGCTCCCAGATGAAAAATCTCCCTGTACCAGTGCAAGCTGGTACCTTCTCTGCAATTTATAGTCTCAAAGAATTGCCTTGAGCACTGAAAACTTCAACGGACTTGCTCATGGTCACAGAATGTATTAAGACTTCTCTCTCCATGAATCCCTGACTGTCCCTAGAGGCAGCTAGTAAAAAGGTGGATAGAGTACTGGGCTTGCACTCAAAAAGACTTGAGTTCAAATACAGCCTGAGAAACTTCCTGGCTATGTGATCCTGGACAAGTCACTTAACTTACATGTCTTAGTTTCTTCTGTTGCAAAATGGGAACAATAACAGCACCTACCTATTGGTTGGATCAAATTAGATAATATTTGTAAAAGTGCTTAGCACAGTACCTGGCACTTGCTATGTTAAAAATGCTTATTCTCTTCCCTAATTTATAATATATATGAAATCCCATCAAAGTAGGCTTCCAATAATTGTTTACAACATAATCTTGTTTGTTTCAGAGCTCTGCCATTTAAGATTTAGCCTTATATCAAAGTGCACACAATGAAGTACAGTTTTAAAAACTCTAGAGTAATAGCTCTGCTTCAAAGATTTGTGTGATTTTTTTTAAAAGTGCTAGTACTACATTAATGGATAGTGATCATAATCCTTCTGTGATTAAGGAGATAACTAATGAATCATAGTTTAATAGCTGGAAGATATCTTAGAAATCATTTAGTCCAATTCCCTCATTTTTAGCAATGAGGAAACAGGTTCAGAGAGTTGAAGTGACTTACTCAAGGTCATGACAGTAGTTAGTGGCTGAGCAAGGATTCACACCCACATATGTACCCTCCCAAGGGTCTGGCATACTGACCTCCCTTCAGAGCCAGCCCTCCTTGATGGGTGCCATGTTGCATGCTCTCAAAGGTAATTACTGTGATGGAAAATCTCCTCCCCTCCCTTATCCTGCCCACCTTTCAAGCTGGTCATGAACCTCTTCTACTTGGTAAGGCTAGTCTTCTTTTTTAAAAAATACACTCTTGTTTACATCTTTTGTTTTAACATTGCCTAGATTTTGCCCTATATCCCTCCCAGAGAGTCATTCCTTTTGGCAAAGAATTTCTTTAAAGAAAAAAATAAAATAAAAAGAGGAAGAGGAAAAAATCAAAGCAATATATTGAAAAAAATATCTGAAAATATATGTCATATTTCCTACCTGTGGACCTCTCACCTCTGCAAAGGAATTGGGGGCAAGAGAGGGTCTCTTTTCCTACCTCTTTTTTGAAGCCATATTTGTTTTTTGTAGTTTTGTGGTTGCTGTTCTTCCAATTTACATTGTTGTAGTCAATGCATATATTATTGTCTTGACTCTGCTAATTTAAGTCTGCATTGGTTCGTCTAAGTCTTTCCATAGTCTCTCTACTCATCATAAGTGTTATTTCTTACAGCCAAGTCATATTCCATCATATTTATGTACCACAACATGTTTAGCTATTCCCCATGTGGCGCAGTGGATAGAGTCCCAGGCCTAGAGTCAGGAAGCTTCATCTTCCTTAGTTCAAATATGGTCCCAAACACTAGCTAGTTGTGTGACTCTGGGCAAGTCACTTAACCCTGTTTTATCTCTGTTCCTCATGTGGAAAATGAGCTAGAGATGAAAATGACAAACCACTCCAGTGTCTTTGCCATGAAAACCCCCAATGGGGTCACAAAGAGCCAGAGACAACCTAAATGACTGAATAACAAAAATTCCCCAACCAATGGGCATCTACTTTGTTTTAAGGTCTTTGCTTCCATCTCTTGACCTTCATTCTGAAGTACTAATTATCTCCATGAAAAATTTAGAACCTGGATTTTGGGAATAAAGATGATGACAGGTATACAGGTCTTTTTATTTATATTTACTTATTATTAAAAATATTTTGTTCATGCTCTTTATTATGACGCCACACTATTTTTTTAACATATCCTTTCCGCTTTCCATAATCAGTGAATATTCTTTTGTAATAAAAAATTAAAAGAAGAAAAAAAGAAAGTAGTTCAGCAAAACCAGCTAAGCCATCAGTTGTGCTAGACAGTACGTGCAGTGTTCCACACCAGTAGTCCCCCACCTTGTGTAGAACTTATCTATCTGTCTGCCTCTCTCCTTTTATCTATCTATGTATCTATCTTCATCCATCTATTTACTTATTGCCTTGCCCACTTTTTGGTAGAGAAGAAAAGTAATATCTCTCATAGGACACTAACAACACATTTCTCTATTCTCTCTGAGCGTAGTTTTGAGCTGCATGGTTCAGCAGGAAATTTTCCTCTCCTGCTTCACTGGTTTTGATTTCATTTGTACAAGAAAAGATGGTCTAGGAACACGTCTCTAAGACAAAGGCTGGAGTATATTTCGAATAGTCAGGCCAGGCTGATGAGTTGTGGAGTCTGTTTCTCAGGAAGGACAAAAGAACTGTCTCTAAACAGAAGGGACTTGGGAGAATGCCTTTGGTTCAGTTTTTTTTTTTTTTTGCATTTTTCCCACCCTGTCTAGGGTGAAAGGGTCTGTTCTTATACCTTTTCTTCCTTCACTTATTATATATTTTCCAAATTCAAAAGGCAAAATAGGTTCTTGCGTGAGTGATAGCAATGAAAATCACCCTTCTCACCTCACCTTATGAGAGAGAAACTGAGGTTCTTCCTACAAACATAGACTGCGCCTCCATCCTCAAAAACCCCTCACTTTGATTCAGCCATCCCTGCTACATCTCTCCTCCCTTTAGTGGCTAACCTCGAGAGAGCTGTCTACAATAAGTATTCTACTTTCTTCTCTCTTTTCAACTGTGTGGTCTGGTTTCTAACCTCATCATTCAAATGAAGCTGCTCTCTAAAGTTACTAATGATTTAATTGCCAAATTCAGTGGCCTTTTCTCAATCTTCATCTTGACCTTCTTGACCTCTCTGCAATCTTTGACACTGTCTTTGATACTCCTCTCTTGGTTTTCCTCCTACTTGTCTGACCACTCTCTTCTTATTGGATATTCAGTTCAGTACCACTAACCTCAAGGATCTTTTCTGGTCCCTTTTCTCTTCTGTCTCTGTGCTGTTTCACTTAGTGATCTCATCAGTTCTCCTGATTTTGATTATCTGCATAGATGACTTTCAGATCTGCTTGCCCAGCCTTCACCTCTCTTCTGAACCGGTCTTACATATCCAACTGCCTGTTTAGATATCTTGAACTTGACGTCCTGTGGACTTGAAGGTAACTGTCAGAGGGTATGGTGTTGAAGTCTGCAAAGTCAAAAGGCATTTGGAGGAATTTACTGCTGAGACAAAAGGATCAGCATGGTGGAGGACCAGTATGGCTTTTTTTTTGATGCTAAAGACTGAAATGTTTATTTAAAATGGATCATTTTAATATTTAAAACTTCATTCTGGAACATTTAAAAAAAATTGGCATCAAAAACATCATGGTAGAAGTTTAGGTTGAACTCTGCTGGGCAACTTTTAAAGGTTTCAAAAAATTCCTTTCTTTTAGGAGAATCACCATTATTACCCCAAGAGCCATAGCAGAGAAGCCAAAGCAAAGACTAGTTGATCGCAACAAGAATTGTTCAGAAATGTAGCCAACAGCAGAAAGTACAGAAATAATTAACCCAATTATAATCATTATTCCTCCGAAGCAGATAATGATGAGGGGTTTTTGGTATTTGGTCCAGAAAATTACTTGTTGTCTTCTCCGTTGAGAAGTGACTGATGGAGCAACACTGCTGTCCATATCTTCCTTTGGACCTTGTGTTCCTAAGAACCAGATGAACTTTTTGCCTGGTTTACTTTCTGGAGATATCACTCCAAGGTGAGGAGACTCAGCTGTGAGGGAGGTTCAAGAGTGAGACTGTAGCAGAGGCCTGCTATTGATGTCTGGAAAAGTCTGAAAAGAGGCAAAAATTAAGGCTTCATGTCAGGAAAAGCCTGATTATTAAAACTATCAAAACCAGACTTGCCTCTAGAAGCAGTCTGGAGGCAGGCTTCAAGCACAAGTTAGATGACTAAACAATCCATTAGTCAACTAATAAGCATTTTTTAAGGACCTGGTGTATGCTAGATAGCAGCCTCTGCCTTCCTGGAGCCTATATTCTATTACAGAAAATGAATGTATATAAGTAAATGTGTTTGTATAATATAAAGAAAATAAATGCAGGGTAATTTCCAGGAGGAAGCACTGGTGGAGAGCAGGAAAACATAGAGGAAATAAATGGTCATTTGAGTTGAAAGGTGAAACAAGGTAGGAATTCTAAGAAGTGGAAGTGAATAGGAAGTGGGGGGACAGCCTGTACAAACGCAGAATGTTCTGAGTGAACAAGAAGACCAGTTTGGTAGGACTGTGGAGAGCTTGAAAGGGGATAATTTGTAATAAACTTGGAAAGGTAGGCTGAGGCCAGATTGTGACAGACTTTAAATACTGCACAGAGGAGTTTGTATTTGATCTTGTAGGCAATATTGAGTAGGTGAGTGAAATGGCCAGCCCTGTGTTTTAGGCAGGAGTGTACTTGGTAAATATTTAACAACTGGCTCACCAAAAAAAATATAGGCAAAGAAGCGGTCTTACCTTCAGGGAGGAAAGATAAAATGCTAATAACTAAATAACCAATGATATAGGAAGGATGAATTGGAGACAATCTTGAAGGGAATACATTAGCATATTATCGATGACTTTCAGAAGATAAGGGTGAGACTAAACCTTGACTGTAAACAGGTTCCCCCTCCCTGAGTTTTGTAAAAATGGTTTTTTTCTCCACATGTGGTGTTTTCATTGACAAAGTGGACCTGTGCCCTACATTTTTCTCTCTTTAGGAAAGAGAAGGAACTGTTCATCCACAACTGATTTATTTATAGAATAGGTCCACCTGACATTCTTCAGATCTTTGGCCTGGATCAGTTAATCCTTGCTAGTCTTTGTGACTACCTTCAGCCTCTGCTGTAGCTTTATAAACAAACAACTCACAGAAGGTTTTTGTCCTGGTCTTGCCTTGTTATACACAGGCAGGTTTACTCTTTGACCTGATGGTAAACAAATGAACACTGTTAGATTAAGAAAGACAAGTAGTAGAAAGCCTTAAAGTTCAAATGTTGGCACTATTTAAAATTCTCAGACCAATTTCTAAGGCAAATATAAAGTAATGTAAGCCTTTAACTGTTAAGATCTTAAACAATCAGGAACAGAAGTCGTACCTAGATACTAAGCAGTGCAAGAGTGGACCTTTCTGTCTGGCTGTTCTGCTGCAGGTTTCTTTAGCCTTTATAACCAGTGACTTTAAGAAAGAAAACAGCTTTGTAACAGGGACTCCATCTTCATCTTTTTCTCAGTTTGACAAATACTGTTTCATTCTAGTGCATTGAATACCGTGAGTTGTATGAGAAATAATCTTGATGTAATGTAAGCTCCTTGAGGGTAGGGAATTTTTCACTTTTATCTTTGTATCCCTAGCACGTAACACTGTGCATGGCACATAGGTAGTAAGTAGGCTCTTATTAAATGCTTGTTGATATCTGTCAGCCTGTATAAATCAATCTGTCTATCTATCTATCTATCCATCTCTGTCTGTCCATCATCTACCTAACCTATCTATGACATGGGGCATCCTATTTATCCAATGGAAAAACTTTTCTGTAGTCTGGAATTTCTTTTTATAGATAGATTTACACAGAACATTTATGAAAGTGCTTATTATGAGCCAGAAACTGTCCAAGAGCTAGACATACAAAGATAGGCAAATAAGGCAGTTCTTGCCTTCAAGAAGATTACCCTATGGAGGAATGAGCCCAAGTTAGACTTTTTAGCTCTCATTCAGGTTCTAAACCATAGGATGTTGTTATTATTATTATTTTTTGTACTCAAAAGTATTTTTCTTTGCAGAGCTTCATGCATTACTAATAGAAGCTCCCAATCTGTGGCTTATATTTCATTGACTCCTCCCATATAGGGTGACAGACGCCTCTGAAGATAGCTAAATAGCAAGACAAGAGCCTATTGAATATGGATAACGGGAGTCAAGGAAATATAGAAGAAGGAACTCTGGGACTCAGTTTCCCTTATTGTAAAATGAGAAGATTAGGCTAAATGATTACTGTGGTCCCTTCCTGATCTCAATCCTATGCCTCTGCTATCAGGAAAGGGGGTAAAAGTATAACACCTGCTAATTATTTTAAAATAAAAAGTAGACTGACTACCTGTTATCTGAGCAACAAACCATGAAGGCGTACATGATGAGAATTTATTTATTTGGATAGATTTGAGTTCTGGTGCGTGTGGTGTTTATAATTCAGACTATTTCAATACTACAAGTTCAAGTATAGAACATATTTCCATACCTGAATATTATGTACAGGTCCTAGGAGGTTGTCATGACTTTCGGCTTAGAAGTGGATTCCTTAGAGTTGTCTTAACATATTTCTCTGTTGATTATTTGTTATTTTGAACCATTTTTTCAGCTTGCAGTTTGTATTTCATCTTTTGAGAGGGTTTATACCTTCTGACTAGGTGGTATGGTAGAGTGCTAGACTTGGAGTCTGGAAGACTTGAATTCAAATCCTACCTCAGATATTTATTGGATGTGTGACACTGTCACTTAACTGCTCTCAGCCTCAGTTTCTTCACCTGTAAAATGGGAATAATAACAGCTTCTTCCCCTGAGGGTTGTTGTGAAGAAAATAATTTATTTCTATATCTTACCTTGTAAACCTTAAAACACTATATAAATCCTAGATACTGTTATTATTGTTTGGAGAATGACATAATCTTATAGATTAGCACCAATTCACTATAGATTTTAGATATCTTGACTTTTATTAGAATTTTTTAATGTGAAGACTTTTTCCAATCCATATTTTCCTTTTTAATTCTAATTACACTGATTTTATTTATGTACAACTTTTAAATTTTAGATGATTGAGATAGTCTATTTTGTCTTTCTTAATCTGTGTAGTTAATCATTCTTCCTCATCCAGGTATATTAAAGATACAACCTTCCATTTTTCTCCGAATTTTTGATGATGTATCTTTTTAGATTTAGATCACTGATCAATCATCTGAAATTTATATGATATAATACACTTAACTGAACCTATTTTCTGCCAAAATGTTTTCTGGTTTTCACAATAGTTCAGTCTTCCAAAGAGAGAGACTCAAAAATTTCTTGTGTGATTGATCGGCTGACAAGGGTATTTGCTAACAGATATTGCCAATCCAATTAATTAATTCCAGTGTTGTAGTCAAAATGGAGCCTAACAGAAAGTTGATCTTAACATATATTTGACAATGCACAATAACTTTTGTGCTTCATAACATCAGGCATATATGGCAAATGTACACTAATGCTGGTTAGACTGAACCAGAGTAAAATGCAATTGGGAAATATTTAACAAAATACATAAAAATACAATAAAACAACTATAATGTTAGTATGCGGTTTTCTTTTTTTAAAAATATTTTTATTTCATTAAATATTTTCCAATTACATTAAATTTTTTTTAACATTTATTTGAAAAAAAATTTTGAGTGCCAAATTCCTTCCCTTCTGCCCCTTTCCCACCTGTTGATATGTGGTTTTCTAAATAAATATATATGTATATATATGTGTGTGATATATGTGTCTGTCTGTCTGTATACACACACAAAAATGCCCACAGGGATCCTTAGGATTGTTAAATTGTCCCATTTCTTTTTTCTTTTTTTTCTTTTCTTTTTTTTTTTAGGCAATTGGGGTTAAGTGACTTGCCCAAGGTCACACAGCTAGTATGTGTCAAGTGTTTGATCTGAGGCCGGATTTGAACTCAGGTCCTCCTGACTTCAGGGCTGGTGCTCTATCCACTGCACCACCTAGCTGCCCCAAATTGTCCCCATTTCTATTGGAGTTTGATACCACACTTTTCTGAAGGATCTGTGAACCTATCCAAAGAGAAAGATGATAATTCATCTATACCTGACCATTCTGTCCAACTATTATCCATGTGTTTCCAAAAATTTAACAAAGAGGGTCCACCCAGCATCCCAGGGGGCTTCTTGCTGTTCTGTGGATGGCTTGCATTGTTCTCTGTCCCTCACTCTTGTTATGTGATTTGCTCACATTTTCCTCAGTCTCTGATGACATTTCTTATACTTCTATATTTATCTATTTGTAATGTGTTGTTGTCTGCTTTCACCCTCCTTAAAACCATTTAGATGTGCCATGCATCGCTCTTTGGGTCATACTCAACTTTATTTTGTTGGATTCTGCAGTATTTCAGGTGTTGTAGTCATATGCCATCACCAGAAGAATATCAATGTTAAAGAGATAGGCATTTAGTTCAGAGAGAAGCCTGGACTCATTAAATGAACTGCACAGTTGCCCAAAAGGGGTCTAACCCTCTCTCGTCCTTTTCAACTCTGAACCCAACTCATTTTCTATTTTCAATGCCTGTCCAAAGTATATGTATTAATGGACCAACTCAATGCATTGTTTATTCAGTTGCATATCATAATCTACACCAGGGGTGGGGAACCTGTGGTCTTGAGGCCACAAGTGGCCCTCTAGGTCCTCAAGTGCTGCCCTTTGACTGAATCCAAGCTTAATAAACTTAATCCAAACTTAATAAAAGGATTTGTTCCATAAAACTTGGACTCCGTCAAAAGGTTGCACCCAAGGACCTAGAAGGTCACATGTGGCCTTGAGGCTGCAGGTTCCCCACCCCTGGCCTAGACTGTAGGCATTCTTCTTAAAAAATTAATTTTAAAAATTCTGAGTTTAATTGACACATCCAAAATTGGATGTCTTGCTTTGTACGTGAAGTAAATGATTCAGCAGTCAAGAGTAGTGTGCTTCATCATCTTTAGAATACTGGTTGATCATTACATCGGTCAGAGTTTTTAAATCCTTCAAAACTGTTTTTCTTTACAACGTGATTGTCCTCATAGAGGTTGGTCTCCTGCTTCTGGCCTAGGCGCATTTTTAATGCTCTTGTTTTTTCCTAAGTGGGTAGTTAGCCCAACCTCTTTTGAATGATTATAGATTTTATTTATGAGGCTCTATGGCATTCTAGGGTTTCATACCATCTATACAATGTTCTCCATACAACAGGATCATCTGTAGGGCCTTACCAACTATAAGGATTTCTTCTTCCATTTGGATTCTGCGTTGGACCTCCTTCATGACAATGGCGGAAACCTTTGACGAGCCTATTTCTTGTCTTATACCTTGATTTATATTAATATATGTAGGGTCATGAAACAAAATTGTCTTTGTTGTTGCATCTTACAAGGAATCATGTTGGATTTTGGCAGGTATGATAGCCACTTGTTGGAAGAGAACCTTTAGGACTCTGTTTTACTAGACTGGAACATATACTTTGTTGTGGTTAACATAAAATAAGCATAATGAGCCCTTTATCTCTACTGTTCTTCCAATTGTGCAGATGTACAGATGTGGCCTCCTACGGAATACAGCCTCTAAACATGTGAAATCTCCCCAGACCTGAAAACAAGCAACTAAAAGGATAACCCAAATCTTGCTTTCCTTCAAATGTCTGTTCAAATTCCCTCCTTCCATATTTCTCAGAGAGTTATCTCTACTCTTTCCTTTTACTCCTGATTTCTTTAATATCACAAAGCACCTAGATAAGGCAAGTGAGGCCCTGAGAGTTTAACTGACTTGAAACTAATCCTAGACCTTCAGACTCCATCTACAATGGTCTTTTCATTGTATCATGCTGTTTTCCTTCCTTTACTTTCTGCTTCCTACCTCTCCACTCCCTTCCTCTCCGCAAATTGATGTTTTAACTTCAGAGCAATTTTGGTCTAAACCAAAGCACTTGAATGAAAAGGAAAAAAATCAACAACAACATAATTTCTTTGTAGTCTTTCCTGCATTCTGACTGTGTTTATTTACAATGGGTTGGTACCTCCTTAAAGCATGTGTGATAAGATGAGAAAAAGAGATCCCTTTACTTGAAGTCCTGTATAAGACTGTCACAATAAAGGCCTTCCTTACCTAATTGGAGGAGCTTCTTGTAATCTTCCTTACAAGACTCCATATATAAATATATATGTATATACACACATATGTATGTGTGTATATATATATATATATATATGTATAGATAGACACATATTCTTTCATGATACAAGATTTGGTAGGTCACTGCTTACTTAGTCCTGTTCAATACCCTTCAGGGTGTCCATAAAGACTGGTATACTTCGGTAATACTTAATGAAGTCCTGATTGTCTTTATTCTCTTTTAAAGAATTGCGATTAATTAATTGACAGATTTTGGTTTTGACACGGCAGACCTGCCCCCTACGAACTCAGAAACAATCACCTTTAAAGTCTAATCCCTGAGAATTATAAATCCAAACCACTTAATAGAGCGAATGCTATTAATAGTACATACCAGTTTTTACTTTCCTAGTTGGCTGTTACAGGAAAGGGGGCGTACTTTCATCTGAGCAATTTAGTGTCAACATTATTTAATGTATTTGACCTGATCTTAATTACTGTTTAATGTTGTCTGAGTTTACTAGTGGTAGTCAGTGTTTTGTCTTTTGGATTGTCGGGTTTTTTTCCCCATTCTGTATCACCTCATGTTCGTCATTCCATGTTCTTCAGAATTCTGCATACTCATAATTCCTTAGAACACTAAGTCCGTTCAATTCATATTCCTCAGTTTCTCAGCCATTCTCCAATCATGGGCTATGCAGTTTGTTTTAAACTTTTTTGCTGTTACGAATTGTGTGGCTATGACTTTTTGTACAGGTAAGTCTTTTCTTTCTGTCCTCAGTCAAAAACTACTAAGTGCCTGTTGTGGACCACATACTGTGGTGATCCAGAGACAGTATTAGAACATTTGCTTGTTTAACATCTTTGGGGTATAAATCCAGTAGTAGGATCCATGGTTTGAAGGCCATGAACAATTTAATAGTAAATGTCTATTTTGAGAAAGCAGTATTTCCAATTATTAACAATTTCTTCTTCTTCTGGCAAGAAAATGGCTACTTAAGAAAGTCTTATGTCATTGATACTCCCTTAAAAAAAAAAGGTGGAGAACTCAGAAACTATAAAAGTATGCTTGAACATATCCCACATTTCATAGGTATTTTGTGTTTTCTGCAGGCAGTACTGCTAAATGTTACATGCCATGAATGCTGTTCAGTAGCAACTAATCAAGGGTCCCTTGAAGGTTAGAGACACTTTTATGAGCTTTATTTCTTAATTAATTGGTGTTTAGAAACTTTTCCCTTGGGCCTTGCTCTTGGGTCAAGTGGGCCAGATTTGGTATTTGTAATATTTTTGAAACACTAAAGACCTAAAAAAGCCAAATCTGACATTTTCTACTCCTAACCCAGATGTGGCTTCCCATTCTATGTACTCACTGTCCCAAACTGAGAGAGGATTTGTCTAGCACTGGGGAGGCCAATCAACAAGAATTTACATCCTGAAGGAAAATGAGTAGCAAATGTGTGAGTTTCCATGGAAAATACAAATGTAAGGTTTGGATGCCATTTTGGGATTCTAGCTAATCCCATCCTACTTAGACTATAGTAGTGCCTAATAAATACTTGTCGATTGACTGATTGATTTCAATGGTGGGGCACATCTAGATTGTAAAATTTTCTTCCACTGCATAATTATTTTTTGTAATTAAAAGCAGGCCTGCTGAGGGGTGGACTGTACTAATATAGAAAACCTTTTTTTTTTTCCTGGGGGGCAAGCAGAATGTCTGTGACACATCAGGCATTTTCTGCTCTGAATCTTTCACCGTCACTTGTCCAACCTTACCTTTTTTTTTGGGAAACTTTCATGCCTGTTGATTGATTAGCTAGGCCTTTCTCTATTCATCCCTAGCAGCTCCCTGCCCATAGAAATAGGAAACTAATCAGACATACCTGAGTTAGAACCCTTCCCTTTTTCAATAAAAACCCCTGACCGCCTTATTGCCAGCTGATTTACTGATATGCTCTGATTCAGAGAGGATGAAGGATCCAGATGTATTATATATATATATATGTATATATATATATATATATATATATATATATATGTATATATATATATATACGTATATATATATATATATTCTAGGAGGAATCACTGAAGATCAGCAGAAGATGGTTGTGCCAAGATAGAAAGTCAGATGGTACTCTGTTGAGGATGTAGGGATTTCCCCTCTCTTCTTCTTCCTTCTCTTCCCCTGAGCCCCCGTCCTTTTCCTTCTGCCGGGGCTCTGAAGGTCTCCCTGGTTGTGCTGTTCCCCTTCCAAATCTTAACCTGGGGTGTTTTAATTTGGGACTAGGATTTTTCCTTGTATGAACTACATGCACCACATTAAAGGATCTTTTTACTTTACTGGCCTATTTGACTCTTGTGAAAATGAATGAATGAATGAATGATAGAACAGCTATTAAGTACTTTCCCCCCAAATGCCAGGATAAATTGGGATAGGGACTCTCTCTCTTTCTCTGTGTTTATGTATATGTACACACATACATATATTATATGTATGTATATATATATATATATATATATATATATATATATATAACACACACACACACACATACTTTCACACATATCTTTTATTTGAACATCGTTGAGTTTTACCAACTTTTGTTGCCTCTTCCCATTCTCCATACTTTTCTAAGCTTTCTAGAAAATTCTTTGTCAATATATAATTTTATGACTTGGAAACTTTGTAGTCTAATAAAACGACATATTCAAATAAGCTCTATAAGAGTGTGTTTCAAGGTATAAAACTGATCTTTTTTTTCCAGCCTTTTTTTTCTTTTTAGGCAATTGGGGTTAAGTGACTTGCCCAGGGTCACACAGCTAGTAAGTGTCAAGTGTTTGGTCTGAACACAGGTCCTCCTGACTCCAGGGCTGGTGCTCTATCCACTGCACCACCTAGCTGCCCCTAAAGTGATCTTTTGGTACCTTTAAGACACTCAGTTCTTTCTTTATATACCTTGTGTAGCTTGTGCCAAAGAGATCTCATCACTTGAGGAGAGATCACTGTTCCATTAACTTTATTGACAATGAAAAAAATAATATTTTGTTTTTCCTTCAATTACTTGTAAAAAACAGTTTTTAACATTCTTTTTTTAAAAAACAATTAGAGCTCCAAATTCTATCCTGTCCTCCCTTCTCTTGCCCTCCCTGAAATGATGAACAGTCCGATATAGGTTATACATGTGCAATCATGTAAAACATGTTCAATTAACTTAACAAAATCTAATTTATTAATTCTTAGAATACATTTTGTTTTGATACGAGACATTTCTCATTCAATACTCAAACAAGCCTTCCCACAAAATGTTTTTTTTTTTTGCTGTGAAATTGATGTTTAGTTTCATAAAGCTTTTTCATACTTTTACAAGACATGGTTCTGACAGGAGGTGAGACAGAAAAAGTGGAAAATATGAGTGATGTAAAAGCAAAAGAGATCAGTAAATATTTATTTTAAAAAAACACCAACAAATAGATCTTGAATAGGAAAAAGGCATCCAAAACAAAATAAACATTTGCAAAAAATGCATAATTTTATTTAATCAGTTTTCATATTCTAGATCCTTGAGGGATAGAGCATCACTCGGATCCTGTGTCCAATGGCCTTGGCAGGAAGATTGCTTCTGAACTTGGCTTGAACCATTCCACTACTTCCATGAGCTTGAGTAACTTTTCCCCAGATAACTCTTGTTCTGTTTGGTTTCCCACCAGGAGTCACTGTGTTGTTTTTGGCTTTGTATACATAAGCACATCTCTTGCCCAAATAGAATTCAGTGTCATCCAGAGCATAGACTCCTTCAGTTTTCAGAAGAGCTGTATGTTCCCTCTGGTTTCGTAGGCCTCGCTTGTAGCCAGCAAAAATGCCCTTGGACCACAGTCTTCCAGACATTATGCTGTTCTAGAAGTCCTGTTTCCAGCGGGTCTCCCAGGCTCCAAGATGGAGGAAAAAAAAAAAGCACAAAATATGTTTCTTGAACACATTTATGGAGAACCACCTGATGGAATGAATGTGACTATATACCACGTTAATAATTTAATTATCATTGATGGAGGAGAATGTGTTTTGATTTCTGTAGTCTGCCACTAACATTGTCCATTGTATTTGAGCAAGGTTGTTGCCTCTCTGCATTGTTTTTATTCACATTGAATTTATTATTCTGTTGGCTCTTGTTTCTTCATTCAATATCACTTCCTATACATATCTTCTGATGTTTCTTTGATCTTCGTATTTACCCTTTTCCTGACGTTAATCTTCTATGTCATTCAGCCATTCTCCAACTGTTGGGCATATATATTGTTTCCAGAATTTTGCTGTCACAGATAGCATTGCTATGGATGATCCTACATGTTTAGGGCTTTCCTTATTGTCATTATCTCCACTGGGTCATCCCAGGATCCAGGTGAGCTATTGATTATTAATGTTAATTATTAATTATTATTTATTTGCATTTATATTTAACTTATATACATTATATAATATTATATTTAATTATTAGTTAAACAAATCTACTCCCTGGGGGCAGCTAGGTGGCACAGTGGATTGAGCATCGGCTCTGGAGTCAGGAGGACCTGTGTTCAAATGTGGCCTTAGACACATAACACTCAGTAGCTGCGTGACTCTGGGCAAGTCATCTGACCCCAATTGCCTCACCAAAAAAAAAAGCCATCTATTCCCATACCTGTTTGGCCCCCTCAGAACTTCTTTGCTTGGTTTGGAGTTTGCTTTCTTGTGTTTTTGTTTTATTTTGTTATTCTAGCTTTGTTCTAAAACCTGGTTTGCAAACTGTGTCAACTACTCCTGTGGCTCTTGGTGGGTCACTGTTTGGTGCAAATCTGGACTGGGAGGGGCTGCCCCAACATCTAGAGAGTTGGCCCATTGATGATCCAGGTGACATGATCTCTTTCAGCAAACCACTCAGTAGTGGAATATCTAGGTGAGAGAATATAAACGGTTTTGTACCTTTTCTTTCACAATTGCAAATGTTTATCAGACTGGTTATATCACCTCGTATAAACTGGTTTTATTAACTCATATTAACTACCAGCTGTGAATTACCATGCTTGTCTTTCTACAGGTAACTTTGCATAATGAATTAGTTGAATACTGTTAGTTTTTCATCTGATTTAACAACAACTTCCCAGTTAACAGCAACCAGTTAGTGCTGTTTACTTTAAATGTTGTAGTAAACTGTAAATGCTTAGCTTTCAGTGGTTTGGCCTTGGCATTTTAATTGGTATTGATGTGGTGAAAGATATTTTAGGATTTTTTACTTTTCTGATCCATTGATGCCATGTTGCATTTTCTCTCCCATAGAATGAGACTGATAGTTATTTTTCTCTTTAGTCTCAGAAGTCCTGGATTGAAGAAGTCTTCGAAAAAAGGGAATGTACCCGAATTATACCCAGCTCTAAAGATCCTCACAGGTATAATGTTCAATGCATAATTTTTATATGTTGATCACCCAAACATACTAGTTAGGACATTGAAAAGCAAATATGGAGACCCATTTAAGACCTTAGTCATGTTTGTTTTGAAGACTCAGAAATATTTCTGGAGAATTTAGCCATAGAGGAAAATATTTGAAATTTTATGTCAAGTTGTCCTTTAAAGAAGGTGCATCTTATCTTACATTAAAGACCGACCCAAAGAAAATAGATCGAATCTCCTCTGTATGTTTTTCTTCTGGCTGCTAGAATCTTTGTTCCTATCTCAATTCTACTTTTCTCCCGTAATAATCAGATGTTATCCCTGTTATTGGAACAGCTAGGTGACACAGTGGGTAGCGCACAGGGTCTGGAGTCAGGAATACCGGAATTCAAATGTGGCTTTAAACATTTACTAGCTGTGTGGCCTTGAGCAAGTTACTTACTCTTGTTTGCCTCAGTTTCCACATCTGTAAAATAAGCTGGAGAAGAAAATGTCAAACCACTCTAGAGTCTTTCCAAGAAAACCTCAAATTGGGAGAGGGGTCATGAAGAGTTAGATACAACTGAAACAACTGAACAACTCATCTCTACTATTCTTCAAATTTTATCCTCATCCTGATTTTTTTTTAATGGAGAAAAACCCTGGATCTCATGTCAAAACATTCCAGAGAATATTTGAGATGGTAAGGGCAGAGAAGTAGGGTTTACTCTATAAATGTTGCCTGTGCTTTGCTTGATGAAGAGAAAAATCCAGAGATCAGGTCACATGTGTATGTGTGTGATGGGCCGGGAGGGACAAAGAGTTCACAACTTCTCTGAACTGGCAAATACTGTACCTGTTTGTTAATTAGTCTTATCACAAAATATGTTTAATGGGTATGTAAATGTAAAGCCTATATCAGATTATGCACTGTCTTGGGTAGGGTGGGGGGGAAGAAGGGGGAGAAAAATTTTCAACTCAAAAGCATATGGAAGTGATTGTTGATAAATCAAAAAAAATTAAAAAAATTAAAAAAAATTAGTCTTATCACAGTTGCTCACTTTTTAATTTTCCTTTTTTTTTTTTTGCCAGGCAGTGGGGTTAAGTTACTTGCCCAGGGTCATACAGCTATGAAGTGTCAAGTTTGACACTTTGAACTGAGGTCCTCCTGACTCCAGGGCCTGTGCTCTATCCACTGCGTCACCTAGCTGCCCCTTAATTTTCTTTTTCTTCCTTTTTTTTTTTGAAGGCAATTGGGGTTAAGTGACTTGGTGTTGTTCATTTTTCATTTTTGGAAAGGACCAATTGGGTCCCTTAATTTTCTAAACTGAAAGTTCATTCAAAGACTTATTGCCAAGTTTGTTCAATCACAGATGTATTATCTGTGTGAATGGCAGACATAACCAAAATGTACAGATATTCCCTGATAATCTTCATTTTCCTTCCAATTTCCTTTTCATAACTCTTTGAACAGAATAACTGACTGATTTGTGCTTAATTTGGGTCATCCTCAGCTTTTAGAAGTGACAACTGGTAGTGGAATGAATAAATGTCAGTCAGTCAACAAGAATTTATTAGGTGCTCACTGTCTGCCAGGGAAGAAAGCAAAAACATCATCCTTGACCTCAGGTAGCTGGTACACTAATGTGGGAGACAATATACAAATAACCATGTACTACAAAATATAGAGAGGGTAGAGGAAGGTAATTTCAGAGGGAAGGCCCTGGGAAGGGGAACTGGGAAAGATTTCCTATAGAAGGTGAGGTTTGATCTGAATCTTGAAGGAATCCAAGAGGTGGAAGTGAGGAGAGAGGAATTCAAGCACGGGAAACAGTCACTGGACAGCTGGGTGGTGCAGTGAATAGAGCCCTGGTCTTGAAGTCAGGAAGACTCATCTTCCTGAGTTCAAATATGGCCTCAGACACTTGCTGGCTGTGTGAACTTGGGCAAGTTCACTTAACCCTATTTGCCTCAGTTTCCTCATCTGTGAAATGAGCTGGAGGAGGCAATGGCAAACCATTCCGGTATCTTTGCCAAGAAAACCCCAAATGGGGTTGCAACTAAAAATAACCGAACAACAACAGTGTCAAACTCAAATAGACAGTCACCTAAAGGCGTGGCATTGGGGGATGGAATGTCAACATCTAGGTGACTATGGTATTTGGAGAGTCTACCAAGAATGTTGTTTCTTGAAAGATTGAGAAGAAACTTCATTTTTCTTAAAACAACAACAGAACAGTAGGTGGAGAGAGTAGTCCAGGGTGTTGCCTATGACGACTGCTGTATTTTTAGATTCATTTGGCTCTTTGGGCCTGTATTTCATTGTTCTCTTTGAGTATTCAATTGCTATGGCTCATTGCAAATAGAGCTTTTTCTTATCTTCTTGAGCAGATAGCAGAAGTCATACTGGTCACACCCTAGCTGAGTTTTAACTCTGACAGGAGGTACTTGCCTCCAAAAAAATTTGCTCAATTCCAGGGTAACTCCTTCTACATCTCAGTGGTTTATGGGATGCTTACAGCTGTGTAAGTATTGTGGTTCCTTCTCTTATAAAATGTGAGATTGCCATCGTAGAACCTGAACATCTGAAAAAAGGTTTAAAAAGATGTAAATTACCCATCTTCAGCCTTAACAGCTCAGGAAGTATTCTAATAATTTTCGTGTGTGGTTTAGTATAGGCTACAGTTTTTATGAAAAGATGATTATTAACTTCTTATAATCCCACAAATACGCTGACACAGACAAAAAAAAACCAAACACTAGCAAGAATTGGAGCTTAGGAATATGATTTGCAGGCCTGGAGTCAGGAAGACCTGAGTCCAAATGTGGTCTCAGATACTTATTAGCTCTGACCCTGGCCAAGTCACTTAATCCTTGTTTGCCTCAATTTCCTCATTTGTAATATTATACTACTACTACTATTAATGACAATGGTGATGGTGATATAATAGTACGTACTATTAGTAATAATAATAGTACCTACCTCCCAGAGTTGTTGTGAGGATCAAATGAAATACAAATTGTAGAGCACTTAGCACAGTGCTTGACACATAGTAAACATTATATAAGTGTTGGCTGTTATTTTTTGATATTAACTTTAATTCTTTGCAAACCTATTCATACTTGATAATAAGGAGAAAATCTAAATAATTTCATTTTCATGAGATCATACGATTGACCTTTGTGGTCACCTATTCAGACCTCTTCATTTTGCAAATGAGGACACTGAGACCTGGTGAGAGGAAGTGACTTAGCAAGGGGATGGAGGAAATGTAGGAGAATGGGGGAGAGAGGGGAGATCCCGTATCTTTTTTACTGCATCAACCTGCCTCTCATCTTTATCCTTTCTTTTCTTTTTTTCACCTTTTGGCTGAGACTGAAAGGAGAAATACCTAAAAAGTCAGTCAGTTATCCATGTACAGCCTAGAGAAAGGTTTCTGATGGTCTGTTCACTGTGTCACCTACCTGCCCCTGAAAAATAATTTTTTAAACACTTTGTATGTGGGAATCACTGAACCAAACAACAGGGATACAAATAGGGAAAAAAAAAAACCCAAGGGAGTTCCTGCAGTCTAGAAGTTTTCCTCCTTTTTAGACACTCTTTAAAAAATATTTTTATTGATGTCTTTTGTTTTTAAGTTGCATAGACTTCCCATTTTATTTTTCCAGAGATCCATCCCTTATATCAAATAATTTAAAACAAAAGGATTCAGCAAAGCTAATCTATCATCTATCTATCTATCTATCTATCTATCTATCTATCTATCTATCTATCTATCTATCATGTATCTCTATCTATCTACCATTTATCTATGTTTCTGCTGATGTTATATGAAATGTTTCACACACATGAATTCACACCTGTGAAAGAAAAGTTTCCTATCTCTTCTTTGGGACTCAATTTGTTTTTTATAGTTTTATAACATTAATTTTTGATGTTTTGTGTTTGTTCTTTCCATTTATCTTGCAGTTATTGTGTATGTTGTTTCCTTGGTTCTGTTTACTTCGCTTTGTATTAATTCATGTAAATCTTTGCATACTTCTCTGTACTAATTATGTTCAACATTTCTTATATCACAGTAATATTCTGTTATATTCATCTACCACGTTTTATGTAGTCATTCTCTAATCAGTGAACATCTACATTATTTGTAGCTTTTTGCTATAACAAAAAGTATTGCTATTAACATTTTGGTGTATATGAAGTCTTTCTTTTCTTCATTGACCTTCTTGGAAACATATACTTTGCACTGAGATTTTTTTGTGTCAAAGATACAGATGTTTTAGTCATTTTAATTGGGTAATTTCAAATTGCTTTCCAGAAAGAAAGGCAAGTATCAATTCATCACTAATTTTCACCAGTTCTACCAGCAGTGCATTAATTTTCCTGTCATTCTATAACTTTTCTAACAGAGAAGACAATTCCCTTTTATTATCTTTGCCACTTTGCTGCATTTGAGGTGAAACCTCAGATTTCTTTCATATGATTGTTAATAGTTTGGAATTCTTGATGTTGGGATTCTTATAATTTAGCCACTGCTCAGATTTTTATAATGTAACCAATAGCTCACAGATGCTCAGATTCTTTAAGAGTCTGGCTAATATGGTGGATCTTTAATAAACCTTGTTTTTGGCTGAAAAAAAATAGTTTGGAATTCTTGTTTTTGAGAACTCTGTTTATATCTTTTGACCACTTATCTTTTGGGGAATGGCCTTTGGTCATACATATTTCTGCTAAGGGGATATTTTTGAATCCTGTTTCTGGCATCTGCAAATTTGATAAGCATGTCACATATATGTTTTTCTAAGTAACTGATAAAAATGTTCACTTATTTTTAACAGGTTTTTTTGTTTACATTTTGAGTTCCAAATTCTTTCCCTACCTTTAGCCCTTTCCCCACCCACTAAGAAGGCAAATAATATGATATCAATTATTCATGTGAAGTCATGCAAAACATTTCCATATTAGCCATGTTGCAAAAAACAAAACAAAACAAAACAAAACAAAAAACAAGGG